AAATCAGATTTTCATGTATTTTGTGAAAAAGATCATACTGACTAGAGATGTGGAATGATCGTCATTTTCCCTTTCGATTAGGTCAGGTATAAATGACCGGTTTCTGACCATTTTCTGACCCTAACCGAATTTTGTATTCAAAAGCACCGTCCTTTTTATTTCGGTAATTTGTGGGATTATTTTTTCAGCGTTCGATCGGAAAACTTTTTAATAGAATTGAATATAATATAATTGGCCCCAGACTCAATGATACACTATTCGAACAATAATGAAATTTTATGGGCAGTTTACTATTAATTTTCAGAACATTGCCGCTGAATGCAATTTAAGAGGAAAGAAAATCATTAAATTTTAGATTTCACTGAAAATTTAATACAACAGCAAAATTTTGAGAAGCATAAAGATGAGATTTCTTCAATTCATTTAAATTTTTAATAAAAACATGAATATTCAGTGCCAAATTACCCTGAATGTTTAAGTAATTGTTAATCGGAATTTTCCGGTTTTCTATTAATTTTTCGGGAATACTTAAACTGAAATTTACAGTTTTCATATTTTTTTCCCTGAAATTCCGAATTTTCAACGGGGAAACTCCTTAAAATTTCAGTAAAACTTAAATGTGACAGAAATTTTTAAAAAGTGTATTCGAAATTTTAGCTAAAAATGTTTAAAATTTTACCCTTACCACCCCAAATGACCCTTTTCACCTCAGTGTATACGACCTTCTGTCACCATCGTCTTCCTGATAGTGAAACCATGGAACAGAAATTTCATCCTCCTCCCCTCCCAGCAAATGACTTACATGATGTATGTACAGCCCCTAATAATAATTGCATGTTTTTCATTCAATCTTTTTCGAGTTTGCCATCTCAAAGCGATAATAAATTATTAGTATCAAATAAATATTTATTGAGTCCGAAAAAAAAATTGTTTGGATGAAATAAAGATTTATTAATAGTAGAAAAATATTGATTTAATATAAATGAAACTTCGAATAAAAATTTTCATTTAATTTGAAAAAAAAATTTTATATGGGATTATTTCAATAAACTTTCTTTGATTCAAATAAATCATTTTTCTGGGTGCAGACTAGGATGGCTCATATGTAAAAAAAATTGAATTTCATAATTTTCGTGTTTGATAAAGATAACCAATGACATGGAAAGTACATGTGAATTTTTTCAAAATTTTTGAATCATTTTTCAAGATTGCGCCGTGTAGTTTTATTTCTTATGGACTTTTACACGCATCGTAGAGATCGAATGTGTCAATAATTTTTTAAAGACTCAATTATTACATCCCTCGGTGTTTCCCCTTCGTGAACCGTTCAGAGGGAGGTTTAAGAACAGAATTAATTTTTGTCTCAACAGAAAACTTATTACTTATCAAAATGAAAATCTTCATTTCTACTCAATTCAGTGATTTTTAGACGCCTCTAGCACGCTGAGTATCTGGCCGTTTTTCATCCCGATTCGGTTGATGGATTATGGAACTATCTGACAATAATTCAAAGAAAAAAATTTTCTTCCCCACCAATCGAATTCTGAAAAAAATGCGAAAGATAATTCCTAAATTTCCAGTAAAGACAGGTGTCCGGCTCATGCGGTGCTTTTACAACGGTCGTAAACACAGAAATTGAGCCTAGGCAAAAAATTTGACCTGCCGAACTAACCTGCGCTGGGAAGGGACTGAACTCGCATCGTAGAGCTGCTTTAAAATTTAGCTTAAATTTTGTATATAGTTTTCATGTTTTCGGATGATGCATTTATGAAAAAACGATAAGAACAGAGGAAAACCTTCTATGATGACTGTAGTGCGTCAGTAATACGCTTCAAGCGGCAGAAGGGGGCAAGGAAAATCCACGATAATGTCAGGGAGTGGTGGAAGAGGGGATTCCATTCATTAGGCCAGAAAAATTGTTCTTCAATATTTCATGTATCAAGTTTTTAATAACTTCTTTTTCTTCGGTTTTTTGTATTTTTTACTCTTTGATTATTTTTGATATATTGAGAATTTTATATTCTCCATATATTTGAAAGAAGTGTCAACTACATTTGTAACAAAAAAGGCATTAGACAAACCTAACTTAATCCGAAGAAATCCTGGGAGCGTTTATTCAACTCAGAAGGTTAATTATGCTTATTTCCTTCAACTCTATTTTATATCATTATTTTTCGAAACATTTTAATTAATTCCATACATCCTTCAGATTGAAAAAATATATTTTGCCCATGAGGACTATCCAATTCTCAATATATCGAGAATAATTAAAGACTAAAGAATATAAAAAAAAACAATTACCTAGGTGACTCACCCGAACCCTCACTTGGAGCCATACTTACTACCTGACACGGGCGTATCATTGAGGATATTTAACTTCTACCCAAGTTTTATAACCTCTACTGCCAGTAGGTCAAAAATGTCAGTCAAACTTTAAACACACGGCGCAACCATCAAAATGCAGTTTAAAAATATGACAAAATTCACAGGGGTATTTTATTAACTGAAGAATCATTTTTTGAGACGAAATCGGAAATATTCAGGAATACCCGTAAAATGGGCCACCCTAGTGCAGACACTATACATAAAAACTTTCAAATTTTGACCGGGCTTTCTTTGCCACCGCCGGGTTTTCTTGTTCGATTGTTCAGTTGAAAACTCAGTGGAATATTCGGTTTGAAACTTGTGATGAGAAAGCGGTGTGGGGCCTGAACCCGGGGGCTTAAGGTTGTGAATCTCATGCTGCTACTAAGTGCGCCACATAGCCCGATTGGAAAAACTTGTATTTGCATAAAATTTAATGAATTATAAAAACGCTTTCCTAATATCGTAAAGATGTACAATGGAATTAAATTCCGAAGATGTTTGATTCGAATCAATTCGTGCGCATCTAGTAGAAATGGTCGTCTTCCCATACCGACCTTCCCAGCAGAGTAAAGTGAGAGTTGCAAAAATGGTCTGTATAAGAATTTCACTATCTCCTTGGAGTGCTGACATATTTCCAAGAAATATGATGAATTCGAAGTGATGTTAATTCATCTCATTTTATTACTGCGTTATCAACGACACTAATTTCTCAATTTTGTTAAAGTACTTTTTAAAAGTTGATAATTTAAAAAAATCACTACTTGAAAAAGCCCTTCGAACCTTTTAAATATTTATGCTTTCCAAAGGAAGCATTGCATTCGTTGAATCTGATACTTTCAATTTTTCGTGGCAGACCATGTCCAGATGTATGTACACGGACGAAAAAATTTAATAGAAAAACATATCGAATTCGTTAGAAAATTCAATTGAATTTCTATTGAACTGTTCTATTAGTTTTTGACCGATTCTGTGTATTGTTTAATAGAAAATATTCAGTAGAAAAACTCAAAAGAATTCAATTTTTCTATATAACTTATTCTATTGAGATATTTTCTATAGAATTTTCTCGGCTCAAATTTTCTATGTTTTTTCGATTGATTTTCTTGATGACAAGAAAAAAAAATAGAATGAAAAAATCTTAGAAAATTTGAGTCGAGCAAATTCTATAGAAAATATATGAAAAAAATAAGTTATATAGAAAAATCGAATTCTGTTGACTTTTACTATTGAATGTTCTCTATTGAACATGTCAATAGAATCAGCCAAAAATTAATAGAAAGTTTAATAGAAATTCCATAGAATTTTCTAACGAATTCGATAGGTTTTCTATTAAATTTTTTCGTACGTGTATGACCGATCGTTTTTCGAAAACTGAAAAAATAATTGTTTAAATGAATCCAATTGCCATTTAAAATATTCTTCCCAATGCCATCTTGAGCAAGTTTGATCATGAGATTGGATGCATTATCTGTTGTTGAAAAATTTGATTTTGAAAAAACCATATTCGGGGAAAGGTAAAAAAGTTAACGCCGGGGCACTGTTGGCTGCCACCGTTGGGGCAATATTGGCTGTCAACATTGGGGCAGTGATGGCTACCAACGTTGGTGCAACATTGGCTACCAACGTTGGAGCAATTTTTCTCCGAAAAATTCAAATCATTCTAACCATTCGGTTTATTCTGCTAAAAAAATACAAAAATACATATTATATATAATTTACATGTTTACATGTAGTCGTATTCGTTGGAGTCGCATGTCCCACATTGATTTTTCGTAGCTCGGTCACTTCCCCCACTCGACTACCCACGGGCCCCGAAGTCCACTCCAACGTTATCTTCGAAGAGGCATTGTCTCTCAATTCCACGAAAGCGGAAAACTTAAATACTCTAAACATGAATTTTCGATCATGAAGTTCAGTTCCCTGCAGACTATCATGGAGAGAGGTTTTAATTTTGTTAGGAATTAGATAATGAATCAGAATAAAGAAAATAACTGGAAGATTGCCGATAAAAATGTTGAAAGAAAAACAGAATTAAGGTGAATTGTACAACTAAAACTAGAAGACCAACACCCCTTTGACAATAAAAAATTATTTTTGATAATGCAATCGGTTGATTATAAAAAAACAAAGTTGATTAAATGTGTTTGGAATGATAAAGGAATGATTAAAATGATTTACTAAAGCATTACATTCAATAGAATGAAAATTTAATTCTTAGTATTTTTATTTTATGGCTCCAGTTCTCACAAATTTCGCCCCGCGAGAGTGCGTAGTGGGGGTAGCCAAATACAGTCGCATTCTCCGAATTCGCTTCCCCTATCTGTCGTGAATTGGTAAACTAGGATAAGTGCAAAAACCCAAATTTTACAGGAGAGCTTAAAAACTATTTTTGCGATGGTCACTGGGATTTTACACGAATTGGCGCTCGATTCTCGTTCATTTATCGAGTCTTCCCTCAATGTAACAGGGACGTGCATTTATAATGCGATTTGAGCTGAAATCTTGCACTTATCCGCAGTGATTGAATTTTCGGGAAAGATAAGTCAACTTATCTTCCTCGGTGGTTCAAACGAATACAGATATGTTGACTTATCTCGTGCCGCTTCTAGTAAAGTTAATTAGTTTCTGAAGTATATTAACAATATGTGAAAAACGTTTATTATATCATTATAAAAGATACAGGTGGAACAACATTTTCTTAACTGGCACAATTCAGCGATTATTAAGATGAGTTTAGATTGTTAAGATTTCTAAATTAAGAGGATATTATTAAGTTGAAAATAAATGGCTCAAGGTTTACTCATTGATTTTGCGGTTCAATAAATTTGCTCAGAGCGAATTTTTAATTAGAATCATCATCCTCGTCTTCTGATGAATAAATATCTGGATGTATGAGAGGAACATGTTCCTCACAAACAATCAGATTTTGGTAAAATGCATGGCACTCTGCGTCTATGAGTGGCAGGAGCTTCAGTAAATCATTTTTTTTTCACGTTTGATAGGATGTGGGGAAAGAACATATTGAACCGCCAGTTGTGGTAAGAAGTTTCTTTGCCTCATGTCCATGATAAGAAATCTTGCATCTTCTTCCAAGCCAATTTTGTATTTCACTAAACCCAAGACTGAACGCTGGTAACGCAACCATTGCACTTCTCTCCAACGCAATTCTTCTACATTGACGTTACGGGCAGGTTTCCTCACTGTGCCGTTGTCAATGAGCCCGGAAAAATTGAATTGTTTATTTCCATCCATTACCACCACCTCATAACGCTTTCCCATGTTTCTCACCATGTTATAATAGTCTCTCGGTATGTAGATGTGCTCTGCATTCTTCTTCGCTCGTTCGATTGCTGAATGATCACAATCACACTCGTTTCGAGTATGCCCTGGGTACAAAAACTTGTGGTCAATGGTTTTCAAACTTTTTTTCTTCTGAAGAGCGTACAGAAACATGGTAGCCACGATGGAATTCTTATTTTGTCCGGCACACGAGTCTGAATAGAAAATTACATGCTCGGCGGACTCAGGGAGTTGCATCAGGAAGTGATAGACAGCCGAGGCTACCTGATTTGCTCCTCTGGAGCCTATCCCTTCGTGCCACATGTAATTGAAGCTCTTGTCATCATTACAGCAATGAACCGTGAGGTTAAATGTATGCAACTGTCTCGAGTAGTAAATCTGACCAGTGGGTAGATGTGGGGTCTCAAGAACTTTCTGTAGATCGAATGTTGCTACAATTACCTTGTTGTCAGAGTCCTTAGCCATATCTTTGTCCGAAGACTTCATCGTATAGGGTATTGCAGCGATGGCTTGATGATGTTCATTTGAGCATAAGTTCTCTGCAATTCGCTCGTAGATGATTTCAATTGCATTTGGAAAGTATCGCAAGTTTTACACGTATCTGTCTTGGGTTCTTTAAACGATAAACCAAGAGCTTTTATTTTTCTCTCATACGTGAATCGAGATATGTGTATACCTGGATACTTGTCCGTGAACAATTTGAGCATGTGGGTACGAGTCAAATGAGGTGGTAAGAATTTTTTTGACGTTTTGCTTCGGGAGTAGTGCGATTCATACGCTGGGAAACTCAAGATATGATCTCTAATGGTGTCCATGGTAGCCTCAGGTAGATTTCGTGTCGATGAATGACGTCCTCTCAAATCTACTGCAGGAACTCCACTGAGGCTATCTAGTTTCTTAGTGACGACAGTGGAAATAAATGTATTCGAAAGATCGAAAATATTTTGGAAACAGCCTTTACAAATAGCCACTGTTTCTCCCTGTACACTCACTGAATATTTAAGAGATATATTACGATTCCTTCGTTTCGATGGACTGCACTCAGAATAAATCACCCGTTTCTTTGACCCAACAGAAATGAGGGGAGAAATGTACAATCTTTTAAGGTTGACATCTTTCAAATCCCAGAAACCCTTACTGAGTGTCTCGCATATCTCATCAGGTATTCTTTCACGACACTTCATTCGACAACTTCCGAGTTTCCTACGCTGGCGAGCCCTCGCAATTTTACCACCACTAGTGACATAGCATTCGCCTGCATTTTTAGCGATACTTAGTTTTATTCTTTTCCCGGAATTAATTGGTTTAATATATCGTCTGTAGCGTTTCTTTGGAGGTGCTTCGGTTGATTCCATTCCGTAAATCTTCTCTGACAATTTTCTCCTATTTCGTCCTGGACCAAAAAAAAACAGTTAAACAAAACTAAGATTCTTCATCATTCAAGGTTATTAATTTTTTTCCCCGTAAACTAAATTGATTGTTACTGTTCTAAAAATTACAAGTTAGTTGCCCATGAAACTTGCGTTTTTTTGTCCAACGGTGAACAAATTAAAGCTACTTACCTATCGGACACTCCTCGAGGCCCTCATCACTGGTCTCGGGATTTGACGAGGAACATGGGTTGTAATCACTCTCTGAAACTAAAAAAAATAATTGCATTTTGGGTTTCCAATCGTACAAACATTCCAGCCATTCATAATTATGAATATTTTGACCGTTTCATCGTCTTCACTGCGTTCATCGTAATCTCTTTCTAATTCATTTCGTGTTCGCTTGGGACTTTCTGCATTGGTATTCTTTTCAGCGTGGTCTGTAATTGGAATATTAATTAATTTGACGTTTAATTGATTAAATATCATGAAATATAAGTTTTCTGCTACCTTGACTGAGCGACATGGATCTGAAACTACACACAACATCATCATTGTCATCAGAATCATCTGCCATCAGCAAGTGTTCACCGAGAAAGTTTTATTCTCTTTCTACTTCATTACAAATTTGAGCGTCAGAACTCCTACTTTCATCCCTAAGTTCACCTAATTTATGATTCGCCGCCCCTCTGTGAGTCTTGTTGATTTCATCAGTGCTGTTTTCCGGACAAGCATCTGTTTTACATTTGATTAATTCACAGTTGTTCATTTTCTCCTCGGTTTCTTTAAATGAGTGCCCAGTTTTGGTGGAATTTTGTCTCTGTTCTTCAGCACCCTTTTGTTCCGAAACAACCTTGTTTTCCGTCGCAATCACTCTGACGACGTTCTTTCGTTTGGAGTGCTTAGTACGAAGTAAGTTTGGACCTTCACTAAGAGAAAAATTTAATTATTCATTTCTTTCCGATCGCATTTTTTAATAAAACAAAACAAATGGAGGGCTACTGAAGTGAGAAGCTAAGCCTTGAAATCAGCGGATTTGAATCTAAAAAATTTCTTTGAAATTGACGAGAGAATTTCAATTTTCTCATCTAAAATTATTATTATACAGAATATAAGAGTAGCAACGATAAAATTCGTAATTTGATAACTAGCAGAGATGACTTAATCATAATTTAATATTGCAGATTGTTCTAGTTTTACGCCTGAGGTAATAGATGTATTCAGTTTCGTCAGAACGTTTTTTTTTTAAGTTTTGCAAATGTTGAATTATTTAGTGTACATGTTCAATAATTTTATAGACATATAAGGCATTCTATGCGAACTCAACATGATCAAAATCATCAGTTAAGGCTTTTGAAAAAAAAATCAATGGAAAATTGACAAAAAAAAATATTGTTCATTTCTATATGACAAGTGTATGGAAAGACACGTATTGAAAAACTCAAATGGGTTGATTTTCGTGAGCAGATTTTTCAAAACGGAACTTGAAAAAAAATGGCATACAGAAAAATATGATTGACAATGATGATGATGAGATGACATGAGATGCCCCATATACATTAATTTTATTTTCAAACTTTTATCTTTTTCTCTCCCGCACACCCTTAAGAATATAGAAAAAATTTTCCTGTCGCCCCTCCCCTTGTTGAAAAAAACTTGACTAAATATTCTTGTGAAATGACACCTGGTGAAGAATCGAACCCACGTCATCCACGTACTAGCCCGCGCTCTAACTACTCAGCTATACTGTCATACGGTCCATTGTATTTTTGCCTTTTAACTAATTTTTTCATCGTCTCTTTATCATTTAAATAATTTTCAATAATAAAGAGGCACAATCCTTAAACTCTCTACCAGTTCATTAACTTTCCTCTCAAAAAGTGATTCCTCTTATGGCAATTGGGAAAACTAAGCAGTACCTTTGTCTCCCTTTGCACGCGTCCTTGCAATCCTTGTCGACCTTCTAGTGACGTATTTTTCATGAGAGAACTCAACTTCGCTGTCATTTCCATTGGAATCTTTCGTTTGAAATTTAAAAAAATATATAATTTTCCATGAAACCATTACTTTATAATCAGTGAACAATAAAAATATCCCAGTAATTCATCAACTCCTTGAAATCGAACGTATATAACAATTCATTCAACAAATTTTCCAGGTTGATTTTTTCTTATAACGAAACTTTTTCCCCTGGTGAGTTGTCTGGTGAATTCTAATGAATGAATTGAGAACAGTAAAGATAATAGCTCTTATAAAACCCAGTCGTAATTATATCCCATTGACGCACTATTGACACATCCTTCATTACAAGGTATAAATAAAAAAATTGAATATGAATAAATACGAACACAGAAATTGGATAATTACCTGTGGGCTGTCGATGAGGAGTAACTGCTGAAGTATCTCGTTTTGTTCTCAAAGTAGACGAAGCTTTAGGCTCTGAAAAATTAAATAAGTAAGGGGAGGTTATTATGAAACTTAAAAGTCTTGGGCTAAATAATTAAAATTTACCGTATGTTAAAGATCGATTACTGATGCCAAAAAACAAATAATTGAGAGAAAAAAATTTCAATGTTAATTCAGTCTTGAAATGCTCAAAATCTTACAACTAGTCTCAAGCCTCGAATTTTTGAGCTAAATTTTTTTCAAAATTTTTGGACAAATGTGCAGAATAGCACATTGAAGATAAAAAATTGTAGCTCAAAAATTGAAGGCCTGGGACTATTTTGAATATTGTGAGCGTTTCCGAGCTGAATTAACAAAGAAAGTTTTTTTTTGCATTAATTATTCGTTTTTAGTCACAAATAATCGATCTTCAACATTTGATAAATCTTAATGAAATAACCCGCGACTTTCAAACTCATAGCAACCTCCCCTTAACTGCTGCAAAAAAAAACTCGAAACAAATTCTGGAGTTTTTCATCAGTTTAAACACATTTAAATTTATCACATTGAAAACAATCATTAATAATCACAATCAGTATAATTACTTACTTCCTAAATTTTTGTCCTTGATTTTTTTGGTTTTCATTTTCTCTTTTTTTATTCAAAACACTGTGAGAAAACGTGTGTGCTTAGTGACACTCAGCACACGACTGATCATCTCTAATGAATGAGGTGTACAACTCTCCCAGAAAAACAATACCTTAAGTAAACATAATTCGGCCTTGAAGCAAGGTGAGCATTTGTATCTCGCTGACGGAAGTTTCATGAATTTTCCGCGAATTTAGCTTGGCGCAGTGGGTGAATTCGTTGTCTTACATGCGAAAGATCCCGAGTTCAAAACTCAGCCGGTTAGAATGGTGAGATTTTACAATTTAACATCTTGATCAGCATCGCAGTATATGCTAACAGGATGGGAGTAATATTAAATAAAACGAAAAAGACGGAAAAATCGATTCGAACGTATTTCCTCTTGGGTTTCCTCTATTCTTCCCCCTCCCCCTCTCTCTCATTCCATACCATCCCACCAGCCCGGCACTGTACAGAGTCCTAATACACCCATCATTAGATGGATTGCCATTAGATGAAACATAATTCGTAAACTGGAAGGAGGGGGAGGGAGTGACTGTGAAGTATTTACGTTGCTTGCTTAAAATTCGTATCGATTTTTCCTACGGCTTAGGTAGTTGCTTAGGTGTTTCATTTAACACGTAAATGATTCATGCGAAAAATTTCACTCTGTTCGGTGACCCTAGTGTAGTGTGTAAGTTCATTGCCTCAGATGCAAAACGCTCATACAAAACGTTCCGAGTTCAAAACTCGGGCGAGTACAATGGTGACATTTAACCATTTCAAAAACCTTGATCACCATTGGTATTATATTCTAATTCTATCGAAATAATGTAGGATAACAATAATTAAAGTAAAAAATTTACTTCAATTACAGATATTAATAATCGTTCGAATCATTTATTTGAAAAAAGCCCGGTGGCCTGGCGTAGTGGTTAAGGCCGTTGCCTCACAACGGATAGGTTCCAGGTTCGATTCCTGGCCGGGTAGAATGGTGAGATCTAACCATTTTTAAAGTCTTGATCAATCGCCATATAGTCTCATCAGACTCGAAGCGATATAAAATAAGCATAAAAAAAAAAAATTTATTTGAAAAAAGATAAATAGAATGTATTTCCGAATGAAACAATTTTTTTCTGGATATCCGAGAAATGTCAAAGCAAAGTTAAATTTGACGATTGTGCTCTCAGTTCGATCAATGATTCAATAAATAGTAATGCAGAATTACTAACGATTATATATCTTTTCGTAGAACAAACCATCGAGATAAGAGAGAAGTACATTTGTATAATTCAAAATTTATGCAAAAAAAATCATCTTACGGACTAGCAATGAAACTCTGGCAATCTCCCATCAAAAATCCAAAATCATGTTACGATAAAAAATGAAGATAAGTCAACTTATATTTTTGCTATTGACCCCACTTTGGAAGATAAGTCAACATATCTTCGAACAAGTTGATGGACTGCACTTATCTTCCTCATTTTTTCTTAATACTGGGGTCAAATTTTAATCTTTCGCTAAATCTTTTTGTGAGGAGCTGCAGACCATTGTTGGGGAGCGATTGAGCTAAGAAACGCATTTTCGAAAAAAATGCACTTATCTTAGTTTACCAATTCACGACAGCTATTACCCCATGAATGCGACTATAACTGTAGGTCCTCTTCAAGTTCTTAAGGTGTTTCGTGTAAAAAGTAAAAATACTGAAAAAAAATAGGAAAATTCATGGCAGAAATGTCTGAGTATGCTGCTGCTTTAAGAATTCTTGCACATTTTTTTCAGATCTCAGTCTCAAAAAAAAAAAAATGAAATTTGGATGTTTTTGTAACCCCTTCAGCTATAACCTCCGAGGTTACCCCACTCTTAATTAGGAAAACTTCCGTGGCACCCAAAAAAATAATGAACTATTGAGGAAAAACTAAGNAAAATAAAACAATGACAGATTTAAGAAATCTTCCTCTTAATGTCACCATTAATTAGATAATAAAAACCATCGTATGTTTGAATTGAATTTAGAAATATTGTTTGAATGACCCAGAGAATAAAAATAATACCCAGAGACTTTCAAATTGCCCCCCGATTTCCCCTTATTTGCACAAATGATTCGGAAAATTATAAGTTTCGGGGCAATAGCGCCATCGCGCGTAGGCGCGTGATTCGAATGTCAGTGAGTATCATGGGAAAGGTATGGGTTGGACCATGGAACTGAGAGAAAAAAAACACTCGACAGGTTTACCTACTCGAGACGCATTTTCATATTATTTCAATAATTAGAAAAACATCCAATAAAAATTATTTGACACCCGTAGGTAATGACGAAGAAATCAATCACTCTGATAAATAAAATCAATATTTAAAAAATGTTCAGATGCACACTTAAAGAGTTCCTTGAAACTTGGAAAATTTCGTGCTCAGCGATTGAATCAGGACTCGAGAACAATAAGACTCCCTTTCCGTTTCACCCTCCAGTCATCTGCACACGAAACACCTTAATTGTGATAATTTACATAGAACACTCAAATATTTAATCCAAACGTTGGGTCAGCGTTGAGGCAACGTTCAATTTAAATTATCGTCATAGAAATTCCATTCAGAAACAAATTGCTAATTTACTAGCAAAAATATATTGCCTACACTGTGACGAAAGCAATTTCTCACTTCTTTAATTACAGTCTTTTACTCATCTTGGGGTCTTTTTGATTCAGCTAAAAACAAAAAGTAGACATTAATCTAAAAATAAATATTTCAAGAGGAAAAAAAAGTTTTGCCGCAAGGCGTTTTCGAAGGTCTCTGGCATCCTTTTAGAAAGTAGTGGCAAATCAATGAGTTTTGTTGCTCATCGCCGACCACTGCCCATGGAGGCGAGAGTGCATTTAGATTGTGAATTCAAGAAAAGTTTATTAATGGAGGAGGAACTGGTCGAGGTGAGCCGGGGAAGCAATGGGGAATTTTTGGGGAGAATAATGATGATGCCGCCCTTGATCTCAAGTTGATATCCCTGTGGATATTTGTTTTCATTTCATTTAAACACGTGGTACTGTCGTGGCGAATGACATATGGAGATGAGAGAAGCTGTGGTTATTTTGTTCCAAGTGTTCTGTCTGTTGTTGCCCACACAGTTTAAAAAATGTAAATTGCTGGTTTTCTTCGAAAGAAAATGAGAAAGTTTAGTAGCAAAAGAGTCATTAAATACACTTCATTATTAAAAATTCATTGTTTCAAAGTGAAAGATTGGCCATTATAAAATTTCACTAGTGGAGGACAATGTTTTTATCGTATTTTTATTTACAAGATTCAGATGAATCAAGACGTTTTTATGAGATGAAAATAGTCAATAAATTTTTTTTTTGGGTTAGAATAAATTCATGTTTATCGAAGTGAGCGAGGAAATAATAAATCAGGCACTCCAATTTTTTTCGAATCTTCAATGATTAGCCAATAGTTTGAAAAAGGTTAAATCTTCAATGATTTCGATAAATAAAGTAACAGATATATTTTATCTAAATGTTAAAATGCGAAAATGATTGGTACGATCAAATATTCATAGAGATAATGAAAAACTCAAAAGTTTAGAACAAAATCCACTAAAAATTCTATTTATGCCTTTCACGCTAAATGTATTCCTCAAAATATTGACTTATCAAATAATTTCCGTATGAAAGAACTGCTTCCCTTCTACTTTCATGACTATTTATTTGAAAAATATGGGAGATTTTAGTTACTATTAATCCAAAAATATAACCCATAAAATACCAAATAAATCAGAATAAAATTACAGTATTTTTTTTTATTCGCAATCAGTTGAATAATAAAATGATAAATTGATGACTTGATTTAAACAAGGTGAAGCGCGCAAGGATGTTGGAGACTCGTGTTCTCTTTCTCTCGAGTCATCCGAAAAATGCCGGGCACTGCCCTGTTGTGTTCTTTTTCTCCTTCTTATACCCGAGGGTTGGCCCGAAAGTGGCGAGGCAACAGGTTGCGTAACTCACGTGCGAATAAAACAGTTTCGAGAACGAAAGTTACGGGACAAGCACAAGCGTACGAGGCCGGTTCCTCCAGTTTTATTTACATTAACATATACATATGAATAATATGCATTGAGGATGAGGTGGATGCTGCGCTAACTTGTACCAATGCGTGACCATGTGGGCAGTCATGGTTCATCGTTTCGTGTTATCCTAGACAATTTATTCGTTGATTATTAATGACGATGCGGAAAAGAGAAATGGGGAGTTGGTAACAGTATGCTAGTCACCTTGTGTCGAGTAGTTGAATTCTGTTAATAATGGCAGATATACCTGCAATTATTAACAGAATTCAGCTAGACTGAGAGAAAAATCGACATATCACAAAAATCATTTCTTGACTTGAAAACATCGCATACATATTTGATCGATTAAGGATAATTGGGCGAGCTGGGACGGTTGGAAAAAAAGCAGCCATTTTTTTCTTTTTTTTACGTATTCTTTAAATGATGGAAAAGGCGTGTGCAAAGTTTCAGACTGCTGGAGGATATGGTTAATTTATTATGAATTTTTGGAAAAGTGGTCACTTAACCCGTGATTTTATGGAAATCACCAAAAAAACTGTGAAACCCAAAAAAAAATGCAGCCAAAGTCATAAACCTTTATACACATTTCGGATATGTAATCGATGATTTTTTGAGTGAAAAAGATTGTCGCCTAGTAGCATTGTTGATTAATAATAGCGAAAAAGTACTGAAAAATGAAATATCTGCGCACGCAGCCCAAACGAGCAGCAACGTCCCAAGTACCGATCGGGTAGGGGTAGCGCGGTCAATTTAAACGTCTCTTGAGAGAGAGCGATGAAGCGTTGGGATTGGAGCTCCCTCGAGCCAGTGGTACCAGCACCTGGTGAAAAAAAAAACTACCGACGATGTTGCCACTTTTTCGCATGGATTAATATTTTTTCATTTATTAAAAAAAAACAATCTAAAACCATTCAATGCGTGGAACAGATACAAATAAATTTGATTAACTCCAAAAATAATTTTTA